TTTTTTTAGAACTGTCTTTTCATTAGGGCCCAGTGCCCAAGGCCAAATGTACAATGGTACAGGTTCCAGATTCAGGGGAAGTAAGGTCGCCAACCTACTTCATGAGGTGGAGCCCCTCCCCTGTGACAGTTCGAGCAAAACCAGAAAAAAAGGGACAAAAAGAAAAGGACGAAAAAGAGGGGAATAAGGGAAAAGCTACAGGGGGATGAAGGCATGCCAAAAAAGGCTAAAAACGACTATGTCTTCAGCTGGGGTCTCGCCTCAGTCAAAGTCAGAGAGAGACCAAATGCTAACAAACAACCACAGGGAATTGCAGTACCTAATCTAGCAAGGGACAAGTAGATGTCAAAAAGGTATTTAAATTTTGAAGAAAGTCAGGAGAAAAAAGAGCAAAAGAGTTGAGGTGAGCCTCACCCAGAAGTTGTTTGGAACTTTGTATGCTTTTTTCTCCTTTTTTTTTCCTTTCACACCCACACGCAGGTGTCCCTTCTATTCTGGGTTATTGTAGTCCATCCCTCTTCTGTCCCTGGCGTATTCTACATCCATCGTTCACTTCATCTCGTAAGTTCTTAAGCTTCACACGTTTCTTCAGTATCCCTCTGCTCTTGTTGCGTTTTCCTTCAGTATCCCCTCAAAGCTCGAATTCCTTCTGTCCTTTATTTATACTTCCCTCCGGCCGGTTTTACAAACAGTCTTCTTAAACAGAGAAGTGGTTAGCTCAAGTGATTTGCTCTGAACAACTCAAATTTGCAACAGTGAAACGCCCGTTTTGCAAAACAACACCACAATCATTTCTTTAAGTACATTCTTTGCTTTTCTTTCTTTTCGTTCTTTTCTTTCTTTCTTTCTTTTCTTTCTTTCTTTCTTTCTTTCTTTCTTTCTTTCTTTCTTTCTTTTCTTTCGTTTTTTCTTTCTTTCTTCTCTTTCTTTCTTTGTTTCTTTCCTTCTTTCTTTCTCTTTCTTTCTTTCTTTCTTTCTTTCTTGCAACATGGGGAGACAATGTTTCAATTGTAATTTCGGGTTTCTAATACTTTCTATGCATCGTAGATCAATCGTACAATTTGTACGGTAGAGAGAGAGAGAGAGAGAGAGAGAGAGAGAGAGAGAGAGAGAGAGAGAGACAGAGATTTTTCATGGGAAGCAACACGTGGAATGTCTGAGATTTTTTTGTTTTTTGTTTGTGGAACAGTTACAATTTGGGCGACCTTCCTGAAGATTTCAACGGTGAAGATTTGATCATCGCTCTCCAAGAGATGGACCAAAGCCAAGTGGTTTATGCTGGAGAGAAAGGGCCTGAACTGGCATTGACCAATGCAGCACAGAGGGCAAAGGAAAACGGACGTGAGCTTCCGAAACTTACTCTGAATGCACATACCATAGATTGGCGGCAGCTTCGCAGCTGGATTGGGTAAGATCTCTCCTCCCCTTCCTCCCCTGCGCCCCCCCCCCCCCCCCCCCCCCCCCCCC